TATATATATATATATATGAGGGTTTGCTTTACTTGCAACTTTGTAAATCTATCTATCTATCTATCTATCTTTTACAAAGTTGCAAGTAAAGCTTGATCTTTTTGGTGGTTTCCTCTCTGAGGTCCCAGCATTTACAAAGTTGCAAATAAAATTTGATATTTTGTGTGTGTTTCCTCCCAGAGATTTCAGCATTAAAGAAAACCCTCTTTTATATATATATATATATATATATATATATATTTACAAAGTTGTAAGTAGAGCATGATCTTTTTTGTTGGTTTCCTCTCTGAGATCCCAGCATTAAAGAAACCCCTTTTATATTAAATACAAAAGTTGCAGTAGAGCTTGATCCTTTTTTGTTTGCTTCCTCTCTGAGATCACAGCATTAAAGAAAACTCTCTTCTATTAAATTAAATAGTTGCAAGTAGAGCTTGATCCTTTTTGTTTCCTTTCAGAGATCCCAGCATTGAAGAATGCCCTCTTATATATATATTTAAAAAGTTGCAAGTAAAGCTTGATTCTTTTTGTTTGTTTCCTCCCAGAGATCTCAAAATTAAAGAAAACTCTCTTCTATTAAATAAAAATTGCAAGTAGGACTTGATCCTTTCCTCCATTCCTCCCAGAGATCCCAGCATTAAAAAAAACCCACTTGTGCTTTAAAAAATAAATAAAAGAATCCTCCCAGAGATCACTTTAAAATAAATTGCATAAAAGAAAATCCAGAATTTTTGCAAAAGGCAGACAAAGAATTGTGGCCCCCGACTAAGTGTAAACCAAGTCTACTCCTTATTTTTCTTTCTTCTCCCCCTGTTTTGATTTAAAATGCAATACTTGCAAGGGGATGCTATGTAAGCTGTTTTCTATGAGGAATCCTATGTGTGTGTCTGGGTGTGTTTAACCACTAGGATTTAGTTCTGTGTATGTTTAATATGTTGTGGTTGTTGTGTGCCTTCAAGTCATGTCCGATTTATGGCAACCCTAAGGCGAACTATCATGGGTTTTTCTTGGCAAGATTTATTGAGAGGAAGTTTGCCATTGTCTTCCTCTGAGGCTGAGAGAGTGTGACTCACCCAGGGATCACCCACTGGGTGGCATGGCCAAATGGGGAATCAAACCCTAGTCTCCAGAGCCACAGTCCAACACTCAAACCACTACACCACACTGGCTCTTATTAATCCTATACAATAGGATGATATTAATCCTATGCAATAAATATTTCCCTGACAGATTCATTGAATATTACTGAGGTTTTCTTGGCAAGTTTCTTCAGAGGGGGTTTGCCAAGGCTGAGAGAGTGTGACTTGCCAGAGGTCACCCAGTAGATCTCCATGGCTGAGCTGGGATTCAAATCCTGATCCTCAGAGCCATAGTTCAATGCTCAAACCATGCTGGCTTTCATAGGATTGTGACCTCAATGAGGGCTAGAAACCTGTGCTGCCCCTTGGGTGTGTTTGGCATGTGTTGCCCTAACTGGGATTCGAACCCACAGTTGCTGTGGTGATCTCTGATGTGTCGAAGGAGAGAGGCAGAGAGAAAAAGCATCACCTGCT